CTCGGCGCAGCTCCTTTCTCGGGGGCTCGTTGCTTTCTTTTCTCTCCGTGGCTTTGCTTTCGCGCCCGCGCATTTCTTTGGGAAGTCCCTTGGTGTAATATATATATATATATATATATATATATATATATATATATATATATATATATATATATATATATATATATGTGTGCGTGTGCATGCATGCATGCATGCATGCATGTGTATGTATGTATGTATGTATGTATATGTATATGTATATGTATATGTATATGTATGTATATGTATATGTATATGTATATGTATATGTATATGTATATGTATATGTATATGTATATGTATATGTATATGTATATGTGTACGTACGTATGTATGTATGTATGTATGTATGTATGCATGCATGCATGCATGCATGCATGTATGTATATAGTGTACGTATGCATGTATGTATGTATGTCTGTATCTATCTATGAATGTATGTATGTATGTATGCATGTATGTATGTATATGTATATGTGTATGTATATATATGTATGTATGTATGTATGTATGTATGTATGTATGTATGTATGTATGTATGTATGTATGTATGTATATATATGTGTGTGTGAGTGTGTAAATATAGATATATGAGCTCGTTGCGTCGCACGAACGCAACGCCGCTGGGAGGGCGGCGACCCGTGGGATTGTGCGAACCAGCCATGCCACTGGGCTTTCCAATGTCCGCGTGCGATGGGAGTCGCAATTTGCAACGAGCCGCCGTTTTTCAGAATGGCGCCGAGCAGGTCTACGACGGACGCTGCGTCGCAGCAGGCGGTCGCACGCGATTGCCGCCGCAATCAGGGTGCGTTCGTTGGGGCCCTCGTTGCTGCCCTTTTGCAGCGCTGCGAACGCGTGGGGCGCCAGCTGCTGCGGGCTCTGTCCCAGGGGCGCAGTTTCCCTCTTCATGTTGTTCGGCTTATCATTGCCTGTTGCCGATGGTCTCGCCGCCTCATGATGCTTTCGGCGTTCTGTGAAACCCTGGGGCCCACGGGGGGCATCGCGGCTGGACCCCCCGCGGCCTCGCGCGAAATCAAAGCCCGCATGCCCCCCCAAACCCGCGGGTTACATGTAGGAGCGCACCAGCACCTCATATCACGCCGATGATATTTCCACGCCGGCTGCCAAGCCGACTGCGCTTCAGTTCCTGACTGCGGTCGCCTCGTTTGTCGGCGTAGCGATCGGCGCCATGACCAACGGCCAAAACTCCCGGTGTCGCTCGGGAAAACGCCGCCCACCACCAACTCCAGCGAGATTATAAACGCGGACATTCAAGTGAAGGCGACGCGGGTAACTCTGGGTTTGATCGCATCATCGGCTCCCCCCCCGTCACGGGCGGGCAACAACGCCTGGGCGCCATCGGCACACGGGCCTCAAAGGGGCCCCCGCTATTCAGAAGAATGAATGGACCTATGGCCAACGAAGGTACACATTTTTTCTGGGGCATCGAGCCCGCCCTCGCCTGCGTGGGAAAAGTTCATGGCACTCCCCTGTTCAAGTCCGCAGCCTTCGCCTACAAGTGGCCGAAGCCGTAGGCATGTGGAGCCTCGGCTATAATCTTGACCTCTGTTGGGGCGCATCCCTGCCTAGCGATTCCATATGCCACGCTGGGATCTGTTGGAAAAAGTGCGTGGGGTGGTGGTCGGCTACGAACGGGGCCCTGAAGGTCAATCGGCAATGCTGCGGTCCGTGAGCAACGAGAGGTGCGTTTCAGACACCACCCAGCCCTTTCCTGCTGGCGCAGAGTGACGTGCAGCCCCCTGTTTGACGTGCTTTTGTAGCGCAGGAGAGGTAGTCGTTGTTTTTTGACCCTTCTCGTGCCCGGACCCCAAGGGGTTCAATGTGATGTCGCGGCGGCCCCTTCCGCCCAGGTTTCTTCGGGCGGGATTTTCGGAGACACGCCTTTGCAGGATTGTCTGCAACGAACTCCAAAACGTCCAGTCCGAGAGAACGAACCAGGTCCGCGAGAGAGGTCTTTGGGCGCATCTTGTCCCGAGAGCGCGAGGCTCCGGCAAGCGCAGCGCGCGTGCCAAGCAGATGTTGTGCGAAGTCTTCTTCGGATGCTACTGCGCAGGCGCGGTGCCGAAGCGCCGAGGGTGTCGAACGTCAACTAATCGCTAGCATTGCGGAGCGCCCGACACGGCGTTCCGCCGTGCTTAGATTTGTCCGGTTGGAGGCCTTCGTCGCCGCCAATCGAGCGAGGTTTTTGTGTCACCGGCACTGGAGGCTGGGCCCGTGGACTCTTTGCGCAGTTGCCCTTGGATGCTTGTCCCACTCGTTGATAACCCTCGCCCATGTAATGGGCGCGTGGGGCATTGAGACCGACCGGGCCTTTATTGGCCATTTTGTTTGGGATATCCCGGCGGCCGATGCTTGATTAACCGTTCTATTCTTCACCTTGGCCCCCCTCTTTCCCATAGGGCGTCGGCGCGCGGCTGAGGTTATTGATGATGGGGACTTCAAGCGGGCCAAGGATGGGGTCCTCCCATCGCTTATCACCTGCACCGCCAAAGCGTCTGAACCCCATGGCCTGCTTCAGGGATGCGCGAATCTGCAGATCCCAGAAGGAGACGCACCAGTTCAATAGTGCGCTGCTGTGGTGCACGTTTCGTCGACAGCAGTCAGATCAACGGACGGAAGGAAACAGCAGATGGACCACTGGCGCCAGACCAATCGATTTGCCATTCTGTAGGGTTGGCAAATACACAAAATGAAGGCCCATCAGGATGAGCGCCAAGGGGACAGGACTCCGGGAGAATATAGCAAGGTTCTCGGAAACGGCTGGGTTGATGCCCTTGCTGAGGCAATTGCCGCAAGCCAGGTTCAAGATGGAGATGTTGAGTGAGTGGCGGCCAGCTGCAAGGCCTGGTTTGCTGTGTTCAACGCTTTTGCATTGCTCCTGGAGCTCTGGGGAGAAACGAGGGAAGTGCCCGTGGGCCTACAGAAGATTCCCAGGGTCCCAAGTGGAACTCTGTCAGGCTGCTTAGCCGACAAATGTAACGCTGGATGTCAAAACGATGGTAATGTTTTGACGGTGGCAGAGCCTAGACAAGGCCTTTTCATTGGTTTGGATTTTGATTCCAACTGTGCCGCCTCAACCTGTCCACTCTCTTTTGACAGGACGTATCCTCAGCGCGGGAGCCGGCGGTTTTGCATTGCAACAGATGCGGGTCTTCCACCTCTGGTGGACCTGGTAGGCTGCTTCGGGGTTGCACGTGCTTGAAGGCAATCATACTCCGCATGCTGCGTTCCTCTAAGCTACCATGCCCAAAGGGAGCTTGGTTCTCGAAGCCCTGGAGGGTGCAGGCCAGACGCCCCTGGATCTCTTCCAAGGATAACTCGTGTGGTTTCTCTTCTAACTCCAGGAATCATTGTTGTTGTTAGCACCCCTGGTCGAGCTCCGTGTAGGCCATGCCATTTGCGGCAGACCATTTGTCCTCGAGAGTCCATGGATCCGTGTCCCTTTCAAGCTATCCTTACAATGCTGGGGGATAAGGTTTCGTCTATCGATTGGATCGCTTGTGTATGCCCTGTGTGTATGAGGAGTTGGAGGAGGCGGGGGAGGAAGAAGAGGACCAACTACCATCCCCCCCTCCTGCTATCCCCTGCCCCCTCTCCCATCCCCCTCTCTCCCCCGCTTCCCGACCGCCCACCCGAAGCACAATTGCTTTTTAGAGGCATGCTTAAGGGGGCAGTCCAAGCCACTCCCCTGCCTTTCGGAAGGCCGCCCCCATCGCCCCGCCCCCATGTACGCGCTGCCAACTTCCCTCCCCATGCACTTCCACCGTAAATGCCCAGGGCCACCTATGGCTCCAGGATTGTGCATAGGCCCTCCTGGCCGCAGCCAGGCGGGCGTTTACACAATGCCAGGGCCATGGATGGCCCTGGCCAGGAATGTTGTTGCTGTAATGGTAACTGTTGCGTTCCCCTCCCCCCGTCAGGCAGACGCCCGCCCAACGAAATGTCCGCATCCTCCTCCGCGCTACCCTCGCTCACACCGCCCTCTGGGGAGGAGGAGGGGGAGAGGAGGAGGAAGTGGTGGTGGGAGGAGGGGGAGGAGGAGGAGGAGGAGGAGGAGGAGGAGGAGGAGGAAGTGGCCGGAGGGAGGGGAGAGGGAGTCAGAAGAGGAGGGAAGGGATGATTTGGAGGAAGGGGGGATGACCTCCCACACCTCCCCCCTTGCACTTCTCCCCTCCCTTCCCCCTCTCCCCCCTCCCCACCGTCTCCCCCCTTGATCACCTCCCTCCCTTCCTCTCCCCATCTGCTTCAATCAAGGTGGTTTCCGAAACCGTCTATCTCCAGGGGCATCCAGGATTTGAGGCAACGCCCGCCGCGGCCCACCCAGTAAACAAACCAGCGCCGCGCACAGGTCCAGTCCAGTCCAGTCCACTGCCGACGCTCGGGGGAGGAGCAGCGCGGCGCCTCGCCGGGCGAAACGCGCAGTCTCACCACAGTCGACGCTGGGACTCGGCCGCTGCGACTTCTGCGCCAGCGGGCCGTTGCGGCACCTGATCGGCCAGCCAACCAGCATCCTCCTGGTGTGAGCTCCCACCCGAGAGGCGGTGGACGGCCGACGTTCGCGGCCGGTGCCTGAGCGCACCGGGTCCCCGCAGGGGCCTCGGCCAGGCCAGGGCGCAGCCCAACACGAGCGCACGGGAGAGCGGTGCCTTTGCACTGAAATCTTTGGGCGGCCACTCCTCCCCCCGCAGAGCGCACGAGAGCAGCGCTCCTTCCTAGAAGATCCCACGTTTGAGCAAACGTGCAACGTCGCTGAAATCACCGCGGCCTCAGGCGGCCCCACCTCCCTGCGGCATTTCTCGAGCCGGGTCGATCTCGAGGCCCGAAGCAGGGCGACAAATTGCCCAGCGCGAGACAGTCGCAGCGCTGGGATTTCGGGCTCCACGCGCATGGGAGCCGGCCCTCGCCGAGATCGCGCCGCCGCCCTGCACGTGCGGGCCGCCCCCCCTCGGGCGCCTGCCCAGGACGCTGGGCACCACGGTGGCCCTCGCGGCCCGGCGCGGTGAGCTGCCGCTGCTGTGGTCGGGCGCGCCCGGGGCATCGGCCGCCGTGAGGAGGAGGGTCGGACGAAAGGGGGGGATAGGGCTCGGTTGCTGCCTCGGCCCCACCTCGGGGCGGCCGATCTCTCGGAGGGATGAGAGTTCGACGTTTATCCTGCGGCGTCCTGAAGCGGTCGACGTGCCAACGCGGCCTGCTGGATGTGCGGCTTGAGTGGTGGTGGTGGGGGGTCACGGAATCTGCTGCGTGCAGCTGGCTTCGATGCGCTGGGGGTCGCTGGGGAAACCAGCTACATGAGCTGATTCGCTTCACTCCCCCTTTGCAAGTCCCACCCCGTCGCCCGACCTGGGCATCGGCCGCCATGGGGAGGAGGGTCAGGGGCAACGACGAGGGGGCTTTGGCCCACAGGGGAAAGCATCGACCCTCAATCGCCCATTCATGGCCGATCGGGACGTGGGCTACTCACCTCGCCCAGGAACGTGCGGTTTCGCTATCTGGGAGGGGACCGAGCTGTCCTCCCGCGCTCCCTCTCCCTGGAGGATCGAGGCTCGGGATTCTTGGGCGCTCTCTGCTGATTTGTTTCGGGCCTCTCGTAGGCTTCTCGTCGCCACTGGGTGAGCTCACCAGGACGACCAGAACGACAACAAGTGCGTCCTCTTCCCCCCTCCTTGCCATCGTCCGCATCACCTCCGTCCCCGTCGCGAAGCGGGCGAGACTGACTCGTCAGTTTGCGCGGTGTGCGCCCTCCGAGCTGGACTGCAAGTGAGACCACCTCGTCGCCCGCGATGGTCGGCTCACAGCCAGGCCACCATCGGTTAGCAGAGACTGCCTCCCTCACTAGGCGACGGCGCTGCACATGGGCGCGAAGTGGACCGTTTCTCGCGCTCCGCGTGGCGTGCAGGCGCAGAGTTTGGGCGACGTGGACCGCCGCCTCCCGAGCCACGTGCCCATCCCTCGTCGGTCGTGGTGCCCCAGCCTTCCGCCGTTCGCCCTGCGGGCCCGGGGCTCTGGGGGGGGCGGGCGGGAGGACGAGAGGGCGGGGGAGGCGAGGTGAAGCGAGGGGAAGCGAGGGGAGAGGGATGGGAGGCAAGTTTGACGCCCTCCTCCGCCCTCTCCCATCGAGAGGCCCAGGCAGGGATCGACGGATCAGCGAGCGGTCGGTCTTGTCAACCAATCAGTCGACCCGTCGATCGACGGATTCCCTCCCTCCTTGGGGGATGCCTCCCTCTCCACGAAGGTCCCTCCCTCCTCCTAAAAAGACCGTCTGGGGAAGTGCCGCGGTTGTGGCTGGGCCGCTCGGTGGGGGCGCGCGCTGCTCCGCCAGGCGCGTCGTGCGGCAGGGACTCCGAGCCCGCGAGGCGCTCGGGGGGGCGCTGTGCATCTGGGGGGGGGGCGCCACAGCGCGCCTCCGCCTGGGGCTGGGGAGGAGCGGGACGGGGGACGGGAAGGAGCGGTCCCATTCTGCTGTCGGATGTTTCTGAGAGGAGGTGGGGGCCAGGGTCGGCGGCAGCGTCAGGGTTGGATTAGGGGGGGGCACTCACCGATCCCCCAATCGCCCATTGCATTGCTCGCCAACAGGGGCCCCAAAGCCCACCTCGCCCAGGACCGCGCGGACTCGCTATCGGGGGTCTATCACCAGTACGTCGGCGATGCATCGCCGATTCTGAGTCGATGTTTTCCCCCTGAGCTGGTCCCCCCCTAGCGTTGCCCCTTGTAGGGGGGAAGTGGATATCAAGGCCTCGGCCATGACATCTTGCCCTCTTGCTGATTCACCTCGCCCGCACGCGCGGAACGAATTGAAATCGAAACCAGTTTCTCGGTTCGGGGCCTCCGTCTCATTTCGGTCTCGCTCCCTCAACCTCCACTTGCCGATCCGACGCGAAGCCAATCGCAAATCGAACGGTGCACCCATCCCCCCCTGAGCCCTTTATCTCCAGACGGATGATCGGGATGGTCTCATTTGTCTGGCCATGTATTTGCTTCACTCGCGTGAGAGGAGGGATTGGCTTGGCCCAGGCGCAGGGAGTGCCACACCTGCAGATGGTTGGGTCCTTCGCGAGGGTAAATTTGGCCGACGAGGGGGGTGAGGGAGTGGAGGAAGGGAGGGGAGAGGGAGCAAGGCGGGGAAGAGGGGGGGAAAGGATTGGAGGGGGTCGTGGGATGCAAAGAAGGATGGAGAGAACGCTACCTGTGCCGCTGGCGCGGCGTTGGTGGCGTTGCCGGCATCTGGCGCGCGCCGGCGGCAGGTGTAGCCACGCGAGCCAGCCATACGGGCGCGCCGAGGAGGACCTGGGCGTGTGGGCGAAGGGGACACAGACCTCCGATGCCATGACGTTGCGGCCTTCACGGGCCGCTCTGGGCCCCCCAGGGTAGTCAACAAGAACTGCTGGGGATGACAAGCCATGCTGAAGCACGCATCCTTCTGGGTTTTCAATGTGTTTAGATCCACTTCGGCCGGGTGTGATGGTATGTTTGTAGATGTCTCCAGTTAGCACGTTGATAACTTTGATAACTGCAATACTGTCTGTTTAGCTGTACGAATACAATGGGTACCTGTGTACATATATAACGGGTCTGACTTGATCTGGGGTCTTCCGATCGGTATGGGTCCGGAGCGTCTCATGAGGGCCCTGGACGGCTCCACATAGCTGAGCGATTGGTCCAAGACGCTCTAGATGACCTCCAGACGGCCCAAGAGACCTCTACTACTCCGCAAGAGGCCTCCAAGAGCCATCCCAAGAGAGCTCCAAGAGATGAAGCTCGTTCCATTGCCCTTCTGGGAAGCGTGCATTTTTAGCATATGCGACGTTTCGGCCTTCACGGCGTCCACGACAGCCCAAGAGGCTTCCCAGATCATCCCAAGACGGCCCAAGAGGCTTCCAAGAGGGCTCCAAGACGGCCCAAGAGGCCTCCAAGACGGCCCACGAGGCCTCCAGGAGCCATCCTGAGAGAGCTACCAGAGGCAAAACTCATCCCGTCTCTTCCTTTGGGGAACGTGCACGGCGTCCACGACAGCCCAAGAGGCTTCTCAGATCATCCCAAGACGGCCCAAGACGCCTCCAAAAGGGCCCCGAGACGGCCCAAGAGGCCTCCAGTACGCCCCAAGAGGCCTCCAGGAGCCATCCCACGAGAGCCCCCAGAGGCAAAACTCGTTCCATGTCCTTTGGGAAACGTGCATTTTTAGAGTATGCGACGTTTCGGCCTTCACGGCATCCACGATGGCCCAAGAGGCCACGCAGATCATCCCAAGACGGCCCAAGAGGCCCCAAAGAGGGCCCAGAGACACCCCAAGAGGGTCCCAAGACGGCCCAAGAAGCGCTCAAAACGTCCCAAGAGGGCCTTCAGATGGCTCCAAGAGGGGGAACTTGAATTGAGATGTCGAGCCCAGCGCCCCAAAGGGGCCCCCGAGACCGCCCGCACAAGAGGTCCAAAAGAGGCCTCTAAACGGTTTCCAAGCGGCCCCCAAGAGGCCCCAAGAGACCTCCTGACAGGCCCCAGTAGTTCTGACCTCGACAGTCACAAACGACTGCGCGCCATAGCCGTCCCATCCCGACCATTCACCGACCCGAAAAAGCAATTTGTATGGCGGCCGTCAGTAAGTCGATTCATATATATATATATATAAACACACATGTATGTATGTATGTATGTATGTATGTATGTATGTATGTATGTATGTATGTATGTATGTATGTATGTATGTATGTATGTATGTATGTATGTATGTATGTATGTATGTATGTATGTATGTATGTATGTATGTATGTATGTATGTATGTATGTATGTATGTATGTATGTATGTATGTATGTATGTATGTATGTATGTATGTATGTATATGTATGTATGTATGTATGTATGTTGTATGTATGTATGTATGTATGTATGTATGTATGTATGTATGTATGTATGTATGTATGTATGTATGTATGTATGTATGTATGTATGTATGTATGTATGTATGTATGTATGTGTGTATGTGTGCATGTATGTCTGTATGTATGTACACACACATATATATATATATATATATATATATCTATTTCACGGACACGGAAAGGCTCAAGGCGGGCGCTCCCTCAATACCCCCTAATCTATCATTCTACCACTTCATTCATTTTACTCTTACCTTCCTATTTCCCTACTGCCATGGCGCCATGCCAGGTCTGCCTCAGGGGCGCAGGGCGAGGCGCTCCCCGGCCTGAACGTCTGCGCCGCTCATGGCGGCGCCTCGGGGGATCCTCAACTTGCCCAGGCTGATCAGGTTCTCGACGGGGGCAGCACGGGCCTGACGCAGGCCGTCGGCGGCCTCAATGTGGAGCGTGCGCCTGGACTCACAGTCCCTCTTCGGGACGAGCTCATGGCGAACTTCGTCGACGAGGAGGTCATGGTGCACTTTCCCTGGGTCGCCGCGGCGAACGCGGGGCAGGCCGACCCGGTTTGTGGCGATGCTCGATGGTCCGGACCCGTCGGTGCTCCTGATTGCCAACAGGCGCCGCACGGCCGAGCAGCTCTGCGAGCTCGCGATGGCCCCTCCATGGACGGAGGAGGATCTTGCCTCGGCGCGGCGGTTTGCCGCCCCGGTCAACGACGCGGCGGCTGCTTGCGTGTCTGCGTTGCCTGTGGCTCTGGCCCAGCGCCGGCGCCTCAAGGTGCCGAGGCTGCCCCAGTTGCGTTAAAGTTCCTATTGCGCAACCTGCCCGCGGGGACGCGCATGGCCACTCAGTGGTCTGGGCCTCTGGGAGCAGAGCTCCAGACGCCCTCTGACATCGCCGCCGCTCGTCAGTTGTTGGGCTGGGCGGAGAAGGGGGACGAGAGCTTCTGGACGCGGGTCGTTGGGAGACAGGTGGCCTTGTGGGCCCCCGCGGACCAAAATGCGTTCACCAGGTTCCTTTCCCAGTTCATGCGGCGCACGGCCGCAGCAGAACGCCCAGCAGACCTCTACCTCCTTGCCCCCGTGCTACTGCAGGCGGGCATGGGGACGCTGGAAACGGTCTTGGACCTTTGGCACTCCCCGCTTTTGGCCGCGAAATGGGCCCCCATCGTGTGGGCTTACACGTTGACCTTGACGCCCATGGAGATGCTACTTCCTTGCGGAGGCTTTCCGCGTCACGTGCACCAGGGCCTCGCGGTCTTCCGTCTGGGACACGGAGCCGCGCGCCCCTCCGCGCCTGCTGGAGCCGCACGCCGCCATCTGCACAGCGGAGGCGCCCAGGGTGATGGTGCTGGACCTGCGGGCGGACGAGTACGCCCGGACCATGGGCCTCTCCACGAACAGTTTCTGCAAGGACATCCTCAGCCGCGCACCCCGGCGCAGCCCGCTGAGCACTACGGCGGTACCCCGCCTCTGCTTGGATTGGGTGCTGCCCCCAGCAGTCCGGGAGATGGACCTTCTTCTTCTCCGGCATAGCCGCGGGGAGGCATTAGCCTTGGACACCTTGTACGGCCTCCGCTTCATGGTAAGGGACGGGGAGGCGCTGCTCCTCGAGTTCTCCTCCAAGCTCGCGGTGCCGCACTATTGGCCGCTCTGCTCCCAGCTCGTCGCCATTTCCCCCAGCAAGGCCGCCGTGTTCACGGAGGCGGAACCCGAGACATGGACAGGTAAGATGGAGTACGTCATGCAGAACGATATGGACGAGACATATGTCCGGCTACGCTGGCGCGCGTCCACACAAGGAGGCAGGGTGGTCGCGTCGCTTTCCGCCACTACCCGCGGCCTCGCGGCCTCGCGGCCTCGCGGCCTCGCGGCGGCGTGGTACGGCACCGATCTCCCGCCACGATTTCCAGACCGACGTCGTCATCGAGGGGGAGGTGGGGAGGGAGGACGGACAGGTCCTGAGGACGCTCATGACCAACGTGACGCAGGCAACAGGGCTGACCATAAACGAGACGGACTACCAACGCCCACCGATGGTTGGGGAGTACGTCCACTTGGCCACCCAGGACCCAGCCGCCCAGCCAGGGCGCTTACGAGTGCTTCTTTCGTTTATGGATGACGCCCGCAAGTTGTACAACGCCCTCCACGGTCAAACGGTTCAGGCGGGCACCGACAGGATCGGGGTAACGGTCTGCAGTGACATCGTCGAGAGCCGCGGAGTGCTGGGAAACGGGGAGCGGAGCCGGGCATGAGTGCCCGCCGGCTCCATGATCCCACAGGGAACTCTGATATGCATGGCGGAATGCAGTGTTGGGATGCTGATGGCTCCACGGGCTTCCTCCTCGAGGTCGCGCGGTTCCGCCGCGCTGTGCCTGCGCGTCGAGCAGCCAGCCCCGCCACGAGATGGACGCCACGTTGGACGCGCGGCCAGTTTGTCATTCGGAGCTTCCGCAGCCGGTGAGTTGTTCATATTTAACTTCTTCCTCATCCCCCCCCTTCGCCTTGCGAATTTAACAGATTCGCGGAATTCATATAATTTGAGCGTTGGCCGTTCGGGCCCAGCTTTTTCAAGTGTTAGCTAGGCTTTTGCCTGTGCTGCCGCCCCTGGTGCATGGTGCGGAGGAGATCCTTCCCCGCGATTCGGACGCCCTGCTGCGGATGGACTTGCCGATCGCACTACAGGCGGCAGCGGCTCCTGCGGGCAGAGGGGGCGCTCCCGAGATTGACTTCCCTCCCAGCTGCGCGCCCGCGGGCCCCTCCGGCACCGCTGGCGACGCCCAGGCCTGGGCAGTATCAGGGGGAGTTCAGCGCTGTGACTTGGAACGGCCAGGCCTTCTTCTCTTCGGGCGTGGGCCGACTCCACGCCAAAGTGGCTTACGCGGGCCAGCTGCTAGAGCGAGCAGATGCATTGCTGGTTGCGGAGGTGCGCGGCACGGACGGTGGCAGCGCGGCGTGGCGGCCTCCCAGTGGGACCGGGGCTTGGTGGTCAGCCGGCCCCTCCCCAGGTTGCGCCGGCGTCGGCGTCGTCGTGCAGCTCAGTTTCCTGGCCCAGTTCTTCGCCGAGCCTCGGCGAGCGGTTATTTGGTCGGGACGGGCCGCGACCCGCTCTCTCAGAGGGGCTGCAGGGGCATTCGACATCATAGTCGCGTACTTTCACACCGGCGGGGCCGTCGCCGAGTTGGACAAATTTGGTGCGCACCCCACTGCGTTGGCTTGTTGTTCCACCTTCCCGCGCCTACGGGGACATATGTGGATGCGACTCGACGAGGCCATCCAGCCCTGGAGCCGGGTACTCGCGTTCTTGGCTGGCGATTTCAATGGGGCTACCATGCGGGCGGACCGTCTTTGTGCGACCACGCTGCAGCCGACTGGCGGCCGCGACACCAGGGGGGGGGGAAATTCCGGGCCCTCCTGAGTCGACGGCACGGGCTCGAAGAGCACGTCCAGCCAGAAATGACGCACATGTGTTCCAGTGCCTCCTCACGGCTCGATTGGTTGTACTTGAACCAGCGCGTTTCGGAGCAGATCGACCGCGAGCTGCACGGTGGTGGCGCTGGAATGGAAGCGCAACCTGTCGGGGCATCGAGCGGTCTTGGCGGCCCGGAGCGTTCCCGTCA